GTCTGTGTATGTGGGTTTTTCAAATCAACAACCATTTAAAAGAAGTTAAATGTTTTAACTATAAAAACCTAATCATAAATCTGAAAACCTTACATCCATACCAATTACTTTACAACAACTAATAATTAGTTTTTTTCCAAAAAAAAAAAACTAATAAAAGTTTATGAGGTTTTGGCTTTTTCGTACCCGAACTCTTACCAACTGTGAAAATTCATACCCACTTTATGAGAGAGTACAAGCACATACCTGAACTTAGGGGTTTTGGTTTTTTCGTACCGCACTCTTACCAACTGTGAAAATTCATACCCACTTTATGAGAGAGTGCAAACACATACCTAAACTTAATAAAATTTAAATTTGCATACCCAAACTCATAAAGTTAGGCGTAAACCTACATGACGGGTTACAGTGTTAGATGTGTTGTTAACGAAGCTGACTAGGATGCTTAGTCATATAAACATGATTTATGACTCGGATTAAGGNTGTGGTTGAGTTATAGTCGACCAATTAAAAATTAACCATTAGTCACTTACTTGAAGAAGACGATGATATTTGGCTCGATTGACACAATTTACTAGCCATTGACCAAAACCCGAAACCCTGCAACTCAAATTCCCCTAATTCTCGATCTCTATCTCGGCCTTAAATTACAGACTCATGAAGATGAAGAAGAAGAGATGAGTTTCGATTTAGGATACCCAAACTCATAAAGTTAGGCGTAAACCTACATGACGGGTTACAGTGTTAGATGTGTTGTTAACGGAGCTGACTAGGATGCTTAGTCATATAAACATGATTTATGACTCGGATTAAGGGTGTGGTTGAGTTATAGTCGACCAATTAAAAATTAACCATTAGTCACTTACCTGAAGAAGACGATGATATTTGGCTCGATTGACACAATTTACTAGCCATTGACCGAAACCCGAAACCCTGCAACTCAAATTCCCCTAATTCTCGATCTCTATCTCGGCCTTAAATTACAGACTCATGAAGATGAAGAAGAAGAGATGAGTTTCGATTTAGGATATGGTGCTAATGAGATAGGAGTACGACGTCATTTTGATTTTTTATTGTTTTTTTTCCCTTTATTTTAAAAAAAAAAACTTAATCCGAGTCATAAATCATGTTTATATTACTAAGCATCCTAGTCAGCTCCGTTAACAACAAATCTAACACTGTAACCTGTCATGTAGGTTTACGCCTAATTTTATGAGTTTGGGTATGCAAATTTGAATTTTATAAAGTTCAGGTATGTGTACGCACTCTCTCATAAAGTGGGTATGAATTTTCACAGTTGGTTAGAGTGCGGGTATGAAAAAGCTGAAACCCCTAAGTTCAGGTATGTGTTTGCACTTTTTCATAAAGTGGGTATGAATTTTCACAGTTGGTATAAAAAAAGTCGAAACCCCTAAAAGTCTTACTATGTTTATGTTTGTTGATTGATTTTCTTCTCACTGAATAGAAGAAGCCCACTGAACCAAATTACAAAAGCAAGTCGCAACTCGCTACCTTTCTCTATATCCGTAATTTTTAAAAAATCATATAAAATAAGAGAAGCCCATTGGACCAAATTCCAAAAGCAAGCCTCGTACGAAAACATCTTGAAATGTGCCCTAACATTTCTTTCTTGAAATCCTTGTTCAAAAAGCAATGTTCCAGTGATCAATCTCTCGACGGGAAGCCAAACATTCTTGGTCTCGGTTTTCGGTTTGGACCCCTTTTAGTTTCATATCATGAACTCGAACCATGGTTTTTCTTTTCATGTATGTAAGTCACATAACCGGTATGGTTTGCCTCCAAGACATTTATCATACCATTTACACTTGATTTAATATATGGGAGTTTGCTGACCAAACCAAAAAAAAAATTTATGAGCTCGAATCTCTCTAATTATTAGATTGTATCATTAGCAAGCATATCTGACGATGTAGGTAATGATCGTCACTACCTTTCTATGGTAATGTGTGTTTTTTTTAAAAAGAAGTTAATTATCATGTGGTTTTGATCTCATTCTTTAGTTTTGAACTAACATTCTTGTGATATGTATAGGTTCTCTGTAAAATAGAACCAAGGATATAACAAGTTTGAAGTTTGATTATCTGCTGAAGCAGGAATTTGTAGGAGACATACATATTAAAGATTGTGTAATAAAGACAATTATTGTCTGCACGAGAATAAGAATTTCCCGCTGAAATTTTGTGGTGAAGGTAAGGAAAGAAAGTGCAATCTCATTTAAAACGACCTTAAAGGTTTCTGAAATTAGGTTAAGGCTGCTATGATGTAACCTATACTTTTCTTTTGCCTTTTGATCAGCTAGTTCATCGTCGGAGATAGTACGCTAATTGGTGATCTTGAGCGGCAAGAAACATTCAACAAGCTGATGGTTAAAATCTCACCTTCCCTCATTTTACTTCTTGAAGTGATGAGATAGAGATATGAGTTTTAAAAAATAAACT